GATGATTTTGTGAGAAAAATGAAAGAATGATGGGGTATTTATAGTTGAAAATAGGAAAAAAGTATAATTATAAAAAAATTTNAGTAAGCAATTATAGAAGAATATTAGAGAGAGATTGAGAGAGATTGATGATTTTGTGAGAAAAATGAAAGAATGATGGGGTATTTATAGTTGAAAATAGGAAAAAAGTATAATTATAAAAAAATTTGGGTTAAAACAAAATTTGGGGGGTTAAATGGCTATTTTGCAAATAGCCAACGACTATTTTGGCAGATCAAACGGCTAGTTTTTAAATGGCTAAATGGTGAATTTTTTATTTTATTTTTAAAAATTATCCGTTGGGCCCGTTTAGGACTGCTTGAACCGGCCCACTTCTCAGCCGGTTCCGGTCTCGCGGACCTCGCCTATGAGACCAGCCCACTACCCGGCCCATCACCCCACGGTCCCGGTCCTATCCGGTTAGGACCGTTTAGGCCCACCGCCCATGTGGGCTTGCGGTCCTGGGCCGGTCCCGATCCTAACCGGCCCACATGCCACCCTTATTGACATGTCTATATTAAGTACCTAGACGATCATTTTGACTCGAAATTAAAATAAAAGAGGGGATACATAATAGAACACTGATCTTTCAAGATTCTTGGTTATTTTCATGCTTATCTAGGTCATTCGCTACTTATTGACTAAATAAGATCAGTATTCGTCATTTTTATATTTTTTAAAATTTCATTTTTAAGGGATTATATTTTTTATAATTTTATACACATGGATATAGGGTATATCCTAAAGCTAGTTATTTCAAAATGTTCGAACACCTCAAAACAATTTTAGATACCTCCTCTAGTAGATTTCTATAAGCCTAATTAAAGGACCAAAGTGTAGCTATTTTAAGAGTTAGGGACCGAACCGTTATTTTCCTTAAACCGTAAACAACAAAAAAGAGTACCATTATATAATCCCTGTTTTTTTTGGCTCCCACTGTTTCGTTGAGGTACCATAGTAGAAGAGAGACAATGGAGTTCAATACGACGCCGTCATATTACGGTAACAGAGCCAGCGAGAGAGGCGCAGGAGGGAAGTTCAAGAAACCGGCGGCGAGGAAACCTCCGGCAACTCCTTACGACCGTCCACAACTGAACCAGACCGGCGGTCGGACCGGCTGGTTAGCGAAACTAGTTGATCCGGCTTACCGTATTATCTCCGGCAGTGCCATCAGAATCCTCCCGTCGTTCATCTCCAATGCCATTGCCTCCACTCCTCCTCCTCCTCTTGAAGAAATTCACAGTGACTTAGGTATGTGATTTTTACTTTTATTGAACATGTTATGTGCAATTTTACTATATTAGGGTTTCTAAGAATTTTTTATCACACTATTTTTTTGTCATACTATTTTTTTTGTTTTGCATAGTATTGTGTTATTTTCCTTCCACTTATTTGCTGTCTCTTACGAAGCTGTTATTATTTTCTTGATTTCTTTTGTTGTTATGGATCTATTCTTTTTTTTCTTTTCTGATATTATTGTTTCTTTCTACCCTTCCGGGTAGGGGTAAGTTCTGTGTACACTCTACCCTACCCAGACCCCACTAGTGAGATTTTACTGTGTGTTGTTGTTTTATGGTTCTCTTTTTTGGTAATTGTGATGAATTATGTTGGACTTTTGGCGAACTAAAGTTGCAAGAATTAACCTTTTTGGTTATTCTAGTTTCACCTGATCTTTTGTGGAATGTAATTCTAGTAGCTACGTAGTTATATGCAATATTACAAGAAATTGTCTTTGTTATGTTTTTCTTGCTATTTGTGATGGAGTGTGTTGGTATTTTGGTGAATTAGGGTTGCAAGAATTAACCTTTTTGGTTATTTTAGTTACACTTGATCTGTTATGAAATGTAACTATAGTAGGTATGAGATTTGTTGTGCATCGAACATGTTATGTGCCATATAGGGATTCCAAGAATGTGTCTTTGTTATGTTTTTGGTAATGGTGATGAAATATGTTGGTCTCTTGGTGAATTGGTGTTGCAAGAATTGACCTTTTTGGTTATTTTGCTGCAATTGGTGAACTAGGGAGCAAGTTTCACCTTTTTGGTTACTCTGCTGCAATTTGAGTTTTTAATCTCAATTTGTTACAACTTTCCTGTTATTAGATGTAACTTTAGTAATTTTTTACTTATGTTGGAACTAAGTAGGTTTATCAAATAAAATTGCAGGAGGGATTTCTCTCTCTCTCTCTTTGTGTGTGTGTCTTTTATTTTTTTTTGGGGGGGGGGGGGATGTTGTTGTTGTTTATGTGTAAACTTTAGGTTTTTGCATCTCCCATGTCATTATGACCTTGCATGAAACCTGGTGATTTCCAGTTTTGTCCTTCGTGAATCTTTAGCTTAATTTAGTTTAATGGTAACTGTTCAAGTGTTATGAATTGTAATAGCATTGTAGTTTTGTTTAGTTGAAATGACAAAAGCTGGCAGAAGTTTAGCTTTTCTAGGCCGGTGAGTTATACTTGCTACTTAGCTCGAATGAACACCACATCTAGCGCATAGTCATTTCCTAATACCTACTGTGATCACAATTTTTTCTACGGCTTGTTACAAAAAGTAGCACTGAGCATGGGAGAAAGGGGGTTTTGGCTGGTTACTTTCTTCAAATTATTGTTATTAGTAGCGAAGAAGGGATCTCATTGCATTAGACTGTGATGTTTTTCTTTTCGGTAATGGTGGTATTGTTTTACTGCCGTTACCAAAAGAAATATGCACTGCAAGTTTAGTCAGCTTAAGAAGAGTGAATTTGAGGTGAGATTAGACGGGATTGCGGTGCCTAAATGCAAAAAATTCGAATATCTTGGCTTGGTATCGAAGGAGGATTGCATGATAGACGAAGATGTTACACATAGAATAATAACTGGATGGTTGAAATAGGGAAGTGCGATTGGAGTGTTATGTGATAGAAGGATGTCCACTAAAGTAAAAAGGTTAGTTGTATAGTACAACTCATAAGACCAACAATGTTAAATGTGCATGAAACAGCTGCTAAAGTCAAACACATACACAAGATGAGTGTTGCAAAGATGTGGTACTAAGATGGATGTGTGGTCATTCAAGATGAGATAACATAAAGAATTATCACATGCAATTGAAGGTACATGTAGCACACACCAAGGATAAAATGAGAGAAAGTCGCTTGAGATAGTTTGGTCATGTCCTTAGTTGACCTCCAGATGCATCGGTTCATAGGTATGAAACCGTAGTCAATTAAGGTGTTAAAAAAGGACGAGATATCTAAAATCACATGAAAGTTGTCTCGAAAGACATTCAATCTCTTGTAATCATGCAATTTTAGCAAAAAGTAAGGCATAATAGAAGGATAGATCTATATAGGCGATATACTAATTAGTTAGAAACATGTTTTATTCATGTTAGTACCTTTACTTTAGGTCCTATGCTTTCTAACTAGTGGAAGCTATAGAAACCTCTATTACTTTCTATTCATATTTTTGTATAATACTGGTTTAAGATGAGTTTAAATGAAGCGACATGGTCAATGAGGATTCATATAGCCGACCTTAACGTGTTTGAGATTGGGAATTAGATGTCGTTGTTGTAACGTCGTCGTCTTGGTTTGCTCGTGCCACCTCGAAAAACCCACTTATAGCTTGCCTACAAGTATAGGTGTCGGGTAATCCTGACCTCTAAGGTTGTAAACGGGCTCTTATCAAGTGCTGTAACGATAATTTGAGCTTTGGACCTGAAGGTGACATAGTTTTCACTTTGACCAAACATACTTTTGGTGCTTCAAAATAGGCTCTACTTTAAAGTGTTGGTTGTGAGAACTCTTTTGTTTCTTTTGCCAACCTATTTTTGATTTGTTCCAAGAATGTAGTAAGAACTATTATAAAATTCCTTCGGTTGACACTCCGAGGTTTTCTTTTCTCTTATCTCTTCCATCTAGAAAGGGAGATAAAAATTTGCAAGGAGGTAGCCCTCAAGTCTTTGGTCTAGTGGTAAGAGGACAATGCGTGATGTATGGATTAGGCGCACATCACAGATTCGAACACTATTGTAGATAAAAGCCTAGCATTTAAGTGGAAAAAGGTAGAGGGATGGACCAATTATCCATCGAGTTTCGAACCTGCCTAGCATTTAAGTGGAAAAAGGTAGAGGGACACACCAATTATTCATCGAGTTCGAACCTTACGCCAGTTGCCCTCTGGATTTCTCGGCCGTGAAAAAAATTGCAAGGGGCCAATGTGAATTTTTCCCTCATTTTTAGTTACCTTGCTCTTTTTTATTTGGTCTTTTCGTCAGACTAAACATGAAAAGAGAAACTATTACCATTTGCTTTTGTTCCCATTCCTTCCCTTCCGTACTCCCAGGTTACTATAATCGTTTGGGTTTATAGCGAGATAGAGTGAGCCAGAGTTCAACATGTTTGGCAAATGGTTTGAATTTGATGTTTGAGGTCAATCAAGGCTTTGCTGATTTTTCTTTTCCTGGTCTTTGTACATGCGAAGCATCTTGATTACGCAATTGCTGGCGCCGCTTTTACTTTGGTTTTTTTTGTTCCTTGTTCTTTAATTTCTAGTTGGACTAAGTCTTACATCCCTCATCGTAGTTAATATTTGTGACTATCTTTGTTTCAATTTACATGACTTGCTTTCCATTTTTGGGATGTCCCGAAATGTTTTATGGTCATTCTATTTAATTAACTTTCACGACTTTCAAAATTTGAAAACTTTAGATATTTATGTGATTTTTTTCTTGAATTAGTTTTTAATCTTTATTTTCAACATTTCTTCCATTATCATTAGTATAATATAAATCAGATTCATGTCTTTGTTATGTTAAATACCATCATGTTAAATGGGACCAAAGAAGTGTTGCTATTGCATACGTAGAAGTTGGTGTTTAGAAGTGATTTCGCTTTTAGTTCCTTGATTATCGGGCCTATGGCATAGGCGTCTCGTGGATATCAACTTTCTTCCATGCGGTCCTTCTACTATACCACATTAGCAACGTCTTTCTAATGTTTCCTTTGAAAAGAACCAACCAGCATTAAGCAACTTCTACTTTGTTGTCCCCATAGGTTTTCTGAGTACTTGTCGATAAATGAATGTACGTTGGCACCTGAAAATACGTGACATTGCCAAAATAAAATGGACTAAGTATAAATAGTACTCCCACTGTCCCATTTTATATGAATGCGCTAGTATTTCGAGAGTCAAACAATTTTTTATTTATCTACGATTTTCTTAAACCTTTTTTAAATATTTTGAATTATTAACTATGTTAACTTATACTCATTGATTTTTTATGTAATCTTACTTCCTTCTTAGTCTGTTCCAAAAATAATGAGAGTAAATGGGTCTTCATGGCCATTTACAATATTATAGATCTCAATTTATAATATTAAAATTAAGAAAGTATTATTTTTAGATCTCAATTTATAATATTAAAATTAAGAAAGTATTATTTTTAGATCTCAATTTATAATATTAAAATTAAGAAAGTATTATTTTTAGATCTCTTTTGTGTAAAAGATAGATCTGCTATGTGTAAAAGATAGATCTTCCGTGTGTAAAATAAGAAATAAGGTCATAAAACTAAAAAAAAGTTTGTAAAGACCCACAAAACCATTTGACCCTAACCTCTTTCTAAATTTGCTAAGAATTTAACTGATACTTCCATATTACCCTTAATGATAATCTTTTATAGCAACACAAATGTTGTGTCATGTCTAATACCACAATTTTCAAAAGCTTTATAGCCATATAAATATTATAGCCTAGTCAAAATTGGATCACATTACTTGAATCAGAGGAAGTAGTACTTTCATGCAAAAAAAAGGGCAGCCCAGTGCACTAAGTTCCCCGTATGTGCGGGGTCCGGGGAAGGGCTGACCACAAGGGTCTATTGTACCCAGCCTTACTCTGCATTTCTGCAAGAGGCTGTTTCCACGGCTTAAACCTGTGACCTCCTGGTCACATGGCAACACCTTTACCAGTTACGCCAAGGCTCCCCTTCAAACTTTCATGTAGTTTTCAAATATGTAAATTTTAATTTTAAAAACTTGAAGAATTCATGTCCAAATTCACATTGAAAATTAGGTGTTGTTGACCCTCTTACGGCGAAGTCCTTCACATAAATTTGGGTAGAGGGAGAATGAGTTAAGAACATAAAACAACCATGTCACTCAAGACCAACAGTAAACGAACATGCATATTGTAACGCTGCACGAGATTAATAAATGTATGATTATAAGTATGGGATATATTTTCTACTCTGTACGGAATACTCTCTTTATCCATATTATCTACTTAAGATATATTTGATTTGTGTATTATGTTAGTAAGTTTTGAAAAAAGCGAATAGTCGATGTTATGGGAAATGTCAAGTCACTTTTTTTAAGATCATCTTTTAAATGAGTTTGAATTTGAAAAAAGTGAAACTTTTACTCTGTACGGAATACTCTCTTTATCCATATTATCTTATGTAGCTTGAAGCAAAATGTTAAGATATATTTGATTTGTGTATTATGTTAGTAAGTTTTGAAAAAAGCGAATAGTCGATGTTATGGGAAATTTCAAGTCACTTTTTTAAAGAAGATCTTTTAAATGAGTTTGAATTTTGAAAAAAGTGAAACTTTTACTTGGAATTGTACTTAAGAAACTCAAATAATTCAGCACGTCTCAGTTTGCAGAAGGGATATCATTAAACTTATTATCATTTATTTTGTTTCCTCTGTTTGATCGGCAATCTTACAAAAATTCTTTGGGACAGATAAAGAAGATCCTGCAACAGCACAAGATGTAGGGAATGACGAGAAGTGTACTCCAAGTGTAAGCTTTGGCAACTTCTTTGACTCATTTTGCTTTGTTAATTTCTTTCTGTTATATCTCCATTTTATGGGCAAGCATGTGAAGATGAAGATGTTCCTCTGTTATTATGTGGCAGTCTTACTACATGAGACAAAGGGGCACGAAATGTAATTGAACACGTAAATTATCTAACACTTAGTTTGGATGGCCATTAACTGTTGGACAAGAATAGAATTTGGAGGCAGAGGTTACTTTGAAAATTTAAAGACATGGGTTACATAATGATATATCTCTGCTGAAGTCATTGTTACGCACTAATTCTTACTTGCTGATGCATTAGTTATAAAAAAACAATTAGCAATTTTCCATCCTGATCAGATACTCCAGGAAAAGTAGTCTACCAAATAAACATGGTAAAGAGTAAATATGCTCTTTAGGCTATGAGAACCACAAAGTTGATCACTGTTTACATGGACACAGTTGACTGGTTTAGAGTTAGAAGCCAATCTGACCTGTATATTATCTTTGGTACACTAAGAAAATAACAAATTAATGCTTAGAATTTTATCTTAGAATCGACGAGAAACCTGAAAGCTGCATCATATCATGATTATGATTTAAACAAAAATTTCAAATGGATTGTTAAAATTTTTGTGGGGAGTTAGGGAGGAATCAGTATCATAACATGATTATTATTTTAATTTTTAAATTTTGTATATACTCTTTACTTTCTTGGTTGTTGGATTTTGTCAAACTTCTGTGTTTTCTCAATAGAAAGTGTTAGAGGAAATGGGGTGAGAGCTTATATTATGTTAGTGGTGTTACACAAAAACAATGCTACAATAGTTTCATATGCAAAGTTCATCTTAATAAAGAGAAGTGCAAAGTTTATTTCGTTCTGGGCACATCAAAATCACATGAAATAAGCTCTTACTAGTTTATATTCAAGAAAATATTTAATCAAATAGTACAAAATATTACCATTCTCAAAAAAGAAAATATATAGTCAAATATATTATTGTGAATCTGTATTCTTAACAGAAACAACTTTTCATCTGTTAGAGTATGTAAAATACCTCATACCGTCCTGGAAAGGAAATCATTTCATAAACTTATACCGAGGTATTATGAATTATAAAATGCTTTAGAGTTAAACTTTAGAAAAGGCTCTACAATTTGCTGATTAAAATTATCATGACCTACTTCTCAGTTCATTGCAAAGCTTAATTATGGCAAGAAACTGTGGAGAATGGCAGCTTTTAGGTAACTTAACTTTGAGGGTGTTTGGATTGGCTTAAAAACTGGTTTTGGCTTGTTTTGGTGTTTGGTAAACACCAAAGCTAATAAGCCATAAGCTGGGTACCCCCAACTTATGGGATTTCAGCTTAAAAGCTTTTTTGTTTGACCAAGTAATTTGTTTTGCTATCCCTTGCATTTTCTTATAATCCCTAGAATACCCCTAATTCAACTCTATTTCTTTTCCATTTACCGTGCCCAAAAATGTGATTTGGCTGCTTTTGTCTTTAGTTTCCCATTTGTTTTTTCCTCTTTGCTGGCATTTAGCAAAGTTATTAGTAGCTGGAGTTCAAAAAAAGAAAAAAAATTTCAACGGATGATTCTCTTTTAACAAAATGATTCGTGCCTACATATAAGTGCGAATATTTTCTTGACACTTTTTTTTCTCTATTGTAATATTTTTTTCACACGAAGTGTTTTCTCTTAAATTGTTGAAAGCTTCAGACATATATGTTCACATTTATAAATAGTTTTACGTACTTATAAGTTGATCACTAGTATGTCCACAAAGTGGAGATTACTGTGACTTAAAACTTTAGATGAATAGTTCATTTTCGTTGTGCTATTGAGTTCTTTAGTATCGATACTAATCCATGTGCATTGTGTTACACCAACACATGTACAATAAGATATAAATTAATTTGTTGAATCAAGTTAGAATTAAAATCCTCCAGTAATCATCTTATTTTTAGTGTTGACAGATTTAAGGATATTTTTGGTCTTTTTCACTGAAAAACTGTTGATTATTAATTTCAGTTTCAACTTATCTATCCAAACACGTAACAACGTATTCATAAAATCAGCTTCAACACTTAAAAAGGCGCTTTTCAGCACTTGGTGCTTAGATGCTACTTTTATTCAGCTAATCCAAATGGGCTCTTTGTAGTTTCTTTTAGTATTTGTCTGGCTGCTCTGGCATATTATGTTCGAAACCTTCTATATATGCTTTTCTGATTAATCCTTCAAAGAAACTACCATAAGTAGGTTTGTGCCTAATTACTTTGCAGCAATCGTAGCTGAAATCAATACTTATGCAGTAATAAAAAAAGAAGATAAAAGGCTCCTGCCAAATTTTATTCTGTGAAGTCAATTTATCCCTTTTACCTATTAAAAAAAGGTAGGTCTGCGTAATGGAATCTGATGAGATTTCATGAAGGTGCAAAAATAATGTTCCATCTGAAAGCCAAAGTAGGCCAAATATTGTTTCTTTTATGATTAATGGTTGTCTGTGGCCGTGGTACTACTAATTCCTAGGCATGTTACTCTCTGCTCCATTCCCTTTTATGTTTTGCACAGAGCTTAAATAAAGAAAGCTTGAATAGGTTAGTATGCAAGCTTTTTGTCAGTATGTGTTTGAATATAGTTGCAATATTACTTCATCAAAAAGAAAATAGTTGCAATATATTTGAAACCCCGAAGTCCTTTGTTGAGAAGATACAGTTCAAGACCCAAATAACATTATGGTGTAACTATGTCATATTCTATGCCTCTTTTTAGGTAAAGATTAAGTCTTTTACTAAGAGGTTTAGTTTGAGGTGGAGGAATATTTTTGCCATTATAATCACAAAACAACGCTCTGGATTAGTGTCCGATGTCATACTATGAACTACAACAGTTTTAAGGCTTTTAAGGAATTTTTGCAAGTAAAAATTGGACTAGTGGGAAGAAAGCAAGGAATCTCTTTGCTTCAATATTCGAAGAGGATATTAAATGGAAATGGGGAATCAAACAAAGAATAAGAGGTTTATTGAGCTAACAAGGTTGGTGATCATTACAGAGGCGTATCCAGGATTCGAAGGTTCCGGGTGCCAAGTTGGTCCAAAATTTCCAACTTGGCGCAAAGCATAAAATTTCCAAAAATACTACTAATATCATAAATATACATCATCCCTTTACAATTGTCCTCGACGAATTTTCATATTCTGGGAACGGTCAATAATAACATCATTACTTACATTTGTAAATACATCCCGCTCTATGTAACAAACTAAACAATCATTTAAATATTGATCACCCATGCTATTCCGCTCATCATTCTTTATTTGCTTCATGGATAAAAATGCTCTCTCCACAGTTGCGGTAGCAACAGGTAAAATAAGAGCCAACTTCAAAAGTAAGTAATATATGAATAAGTCTCCACAAGATTTGCCTCAACCAATGCTTTTGCCAAATCACTAATTCCTTGCTAGTTGGAGAACTTGGCATTACTACCTCGCATATGAATTATGAAAGTATCGAGTTGATAACTCAAATCCCGAATCTGTACTTCATCAAACTCATTTGGATAACACTTTGCTAAAGTCATTATTCTACCTTTATCATAATTAGCAAAAGAATTGACTGGATTTAAGCTAGCCATCCCGAGAAGCAAATTACTACTCACTACATCAAAACGGTCATTAAGCTCTTGAAGTTGCACATCAATCACAACACAAAATATTTCAACACGCAAGTGGTGGTATGAATAACTGATACTAGAAGACTTCTGCTTTGACTTTCCGGGAAAATAAAACTCATCCATCTTGGGAATCAAAATATCATGCATAGCACAAAATGAGGAAGCACACTCCAACAAAGATTCCCATTCACTTTCTCTCATATCTTGCAATCTTTTCTTTGTAATGTTAAGAAACTCCACAACATTAACAATATCTTGATCCTTTTTTTGGTAAGGTCTTGCTCAACTCATTTGACAATGCCAACACTTTCAACATCAAGTGTAGCATAAAAATAAATTTGAGTGTTTTAATCTCACTAAGAAGATATTTAGCTTGATTTCTATCATTTGAGGTAGAACCTTCATGTTTAATCACTTCAAGCACACTAACAATAGATGAGAAAAGAACAATAAAGTTATCTAATGTTTTGAAATGTGATCCCCAACGAGTATCACCTGGTCTTTGAAGCCCCCGTTTTTGATTTAATCCTTGTCCAATATGAACTTCACCGGACTCAAGTAATTGCTCCAACTTTTCAGCTTGAAGAAGACGAAGCGAATCTCTACGCTTAAAAGATCCTCCAATAACATTCAACACATTTTCAGCTTGAAGAAGACGAAGCGAATCTCTACGCTTAAAAGATCCTCCAATAACATTCAACACATTAGTAACATGACAAAAGAAATCTTCAACATCCAAATGCTTTTTAGCAATAGCTACAAGTTTTAATTGCAATTGATGAGCAAAACAATGAATGTAATATGCCGATGGACTATCTTTCATAATCAAAGTCTTAAGACCATTTATCTCTCCCCTCATGTTACTAGCCCCATTATAACCTTGTGCACGTATTTTAGATGGACTTAGTGAGTGCTCTGAAAGTAAAGAATAGATTGCTTCCTTCAATGATGATGTCGATGTATCGCTAACACGGACAAGACCAACAAATCGCTCTACAACTTCACCATTCTTATCAACGTAACGCAAAACAAGCGCCATTTGTTCTTTGTGTGAGATATCTTTGGATTCATCAACCAATATACTAAAGTAATCTCCATTTAAGTCTCCAATTATAGCTTTCAATGTTTCTTTTGCACAAGCATTGATAATATCCTTTTGGATCATAGGGCAAGTTAAAGTATCATTTTGCGGAGCCTTTTCTAATATCACTTCCCCCACATCCGGATGCTTGTCCCCGTGCCATCGTAAAAATCCTAGAAAGAGACCTTGATTTGTTGAAGATTCACTTTCATCATGACCCCTAAAAGGCAATCCATAAAGCAATAGAAGTCCTGCCACATCAATTGATGCTTCTAAACGCATTCGATACTCACTTTTTAACTTCTCAGAGTGTTTATCAAAAACAACTTGAATTGATTGATGATGATGATAAATCTAGCATCTTTTTAAAACATTTATCATGGACATTATTAACATCACCAACATGTAGACGCAATCTTTCAAGACCCTTATTCCAAGCCCTAAAACCATTCTTTGTATAGAATTCACTCGCACTTCCATGGATAAATTTATTTTTGAACAAATAACAACATAGGCAATATGCCGCGTCTTTCTTCACACTATATTCCAACCATCTAGAAAATTGACCTTTGAACCAACTTGGAACAAATTGACGCATTCTCCCTCCTATTTTAGTTTTGGGAAATTGATGCTCGAAAGGTTGACAAGGCCCTTTTTGAATATAGTGTCTTCTCACTTCATCTCGTATTCGAGGGTTATAGTCAGCAATTGGTATTCTTTCTCCTGGATCGGGTTCAAGTGATTCCAAATTGAGTTCATCTATTAGATGAGAAAGATTGGCATTCACCTGGCTCAAGGATGGACTTGGTTGAGAATGATCCAACCTCATGACAAATTTATCCATCTCAATCACAAATATTAGGATCACTTTTCTGTAAAATAAAGTTCATTCTACCTCATGTTATATGCTCTCAGTCACTAAGTAAGAAATAAATTAAATGAGAAAGCTTCCTCTCTAGCAGAAATGCAAGAACAATTTGATAGTAGAAATCCAAGTTAAATACTAAGTCTAGAAGAGCATCCTTCTTTATCTTAAAGAATCCTTAGAAGTTTGGGTTCTACACTTCTACAGTTCTACTCATCTACTGACTACGGCCAAGCAAAATAAAATAAACTTACGGCAAGCAACAACATAGGATTTGAATAAGACGAAACAAATACTTGATTAACTAACTTTTGTTGCTTTAAGTTCCATCAACCTTGTGTGCTCTAAAGTCTAAACCGTTGCTTTTCTTCAATTAGATATCACAGATTCAAAGTCTAAAATTGAACAATATTGTAATACACAACCAAATAGAACAAGATGGACCAGATGTTTGATTAACTAAATAAAACAGAAGAAAACAAAAATTGAACAGATATTTGATGGGAAAAAATGCAAATAGGGCTAGGAAATAGACAAGAATCAACCTGTAGTGCCTTACAATGGTTGGGTGTTGGAAGATAGAGACGATGGTCTGAACTCCGGTGAAAGAATGGAAGTAGAGTGTAGAGAAGCGGCCCTGGGATGTGAAAGCGGAGGCGACAGTCGACGAGAGAGACGAGGTGATGGGTTACTTCTGTTGGGGAGGGGTTTTGTTTTATTGAGAGAGAGAGAAATTAAGAGGTATTTTATTCTATTTTAAATAAAAGAAAAGTCAATGATGAATTAAAAAAAAGAGAGATAATTCATTTTGTACTGAATGAAAGCAACGGGGTTTGAACTTTCATCTTGTAGGAGGAAAAGGCAAGATTTTGCCACTGGCACCTTGGATACTTTTGTTACTGCGGGTGGCAACTTAATCATTTATATTATTTCTTAAGTATATATACATACATATATAAAGTTTCGACCGAAGATTGCGGGTGGCGTACCACCCCCTTGGGACTGAATAGATCCGCCCCTGGTGACCAACCTTAAGTATGATAATGAAAAATAAGGGGAAACCCGGGGGATTGTATTCTCAGGGTTAGGAGCATATAGTGTTTTGTGAGGGCTACTTCTAATGGGTTTTGTGAGAATAGTTATTTCTTTTTTGAAACTCGTTAAAGTTGCATAAATAATATTTGTCAGTAGCGTGTCTAAATTTTTTGGCTCCCATGAACGGATGATGTCATATTATAATTTTGATATTTTTTCTTTGGTACCAATGGAGAAGGGACTGAAACACATTTTACTGGACTAAAAAGGTTGCTAGGTCAAGTATGTGAGGAGGGAATGTTTAATTCTGTGGCCTTACCAGAAATTGATGCTGTGAAAGGAAAGTGCCCCTCATTCCCCCCTCCCCCCTCCCCAAACCACAAAAAAAAAAAGAGGAAAAGGAAGTGAATTTTTTATGTAAGATTGTTTCTAGTAAAAAGAATTTCTTCAGAGTGTTGGATATTATGTTTATGCAGTATGTGATATCCAGATCTTCTGAAGGAAAGGAAGAGGATCAAAGAATGGGAAAATTGAATGGGATATCCGAAGCAGTGAAGCAGGAAGAAGAGAAACCACAGAATTCCACTGATAAATCTGAGATTTCCAGAATTGAGCGGCTCATGCAGGGGAAATCATTTTCAAGGTAGCATATCATTCTTCACGTCTCTGTGTTCTTTTCTATCATGTTGTTGCAGTGCTACCTCATTAGAGAGAGTTAGGAACCAATTCCTGCTTCATTTGAAAAATGCATGCACCTTTAAAATTGCTTATTTTCCTCGTAAGCCCACATTGGTTTGAGAATGCAGTTCTCTATAATTGCTAGGAACTGAGCTTCTGACATTATCACCCTTTCCTCTTTTTGGTGATCCTCCAATGCTTTGCAGGTCCAGACTTGATGCTGGATTCCTATGTCTTGTGTACATTCAGGAAACTCTTTTCACCATGTATATCGTTTGAATTTTGTCAGTTAAACTTTCTTATTCAAAACTAGTCTTTCACTATATGCAGGGATGAAATAATGCGTTTGACAGAGATATTAAACTCAAGGGTTATTGATGACCAAGAAAAGAAAACTAGCAAAACAGCTGAAGGAGACATTGGAAGGTTTCATTTAACACACGAGACACCTAGAAGACCATATCACAGGAAGCAGGATGAAGCAGAGTTTGCTATGCCAGGAACTTCAACACCTCTTCCCCAAACAAATTTTGCTATGCCAGGAACTTCAACTCCTCTTCCCCAAACAAATTTTGCTATGCCAGAAGCTTCAACACCTCTTCCCCAAACAAATTTTCCTATGCCAGGAGCTTCAACACCTCTTCCCCAAACAAATTTTGCTATGCCAGGAACATCAACACCTTTTCCCCAAACAAATGTAAGTTAATTATCACTATAAACCCTTCTGTCATTGGCACATATTTGTTTTGTGAAATGTCCATGATAATAGTACTTTAGCCTGTTGAACTTCATCTCGAGAGATGGTCTCAAATGAAGCCTTAAAAGGTGAAAAGTGCATTAGCGAATAAAGTCTGGAATAGCTTGGAAGTAACAAGTGTAAATAATTATTTCATGAAATACCCTCATTGATGCAGTCTTCTTCCGGAGTTTTGGTGTTGATACTAGGATGTATTTATCAAATAGTCCACTACTGCAGGTACAAGATGAAGTTGGAGCATCACCTATTGATATTGCAAGAGCTTACATGGGAAGTCGTAGGTTAGAAAAAGGATACGATTCTTGCAGTCTTGTATCCAAGGGAGAACAAGCTCCACAAAACAGGTTTCATCCGCCACCTTCGCTTAAGTCATCGACTTGTTGGCCAGCTGCCATGCTGCAAGATCAGCATAGTCATATTACTCCACAGAGTCAGAGAGGATATGGGCTTGTTGAGTTTCCGAGGACTCCATACTCTAGAACTTTATTGCCGAAATCCAGAGATAGGGTTTGTATTGTGACAAAATTTAGATGTGTTTACAAGCATACTTTTGTTAATCCAGGAATATTTATTCTTGTTGCACTTGCATTTTGTCAGCAGACTCATTCGCAGACTGGTAGCAGGTGGCCAGATCTCTCAGCGAAAACCTTCCAACAATCTCAATCATCAATATACAGCCAGGTATATGTTTGTCTTAGCAAGTCTAAAATTAATTCAATGACAAAATTCCTGTCTATCAAAGCAACTTCTTATTTGAAGTTTCCTGTACTGATTTAACGGTTTTTGCATGTTTATAAGATTTTCTGTGATCATTAATCTTTATTGTAATCTAATTAGAATACTTTCAAGGAGCAGTTGGGATCTTTCTGAATGTTATCATGCTATAAAAATTTCAGGAGAAGACTAGGAGTGATTTACCTCATCTAAGCTATGGATCTGCGGGACCCATTCGGCGTATACGGAATAAATTTGGCTCAGAATCTCGGCCTAAGAGATCCATATTCCTGAATTCCAAAAATGCTTCTTCACCTTTAGGAAAAATTGGTGCTTCTGAAGTTTTCTTGCCTGCTGCTAGGAAGAACTTGGAAGTTGGTCAACCTAGTGGTGTCGAGAAGGACCAATCAGTGGAGCATAGAGCAGGCAGGTCTGAAGAAGCTATGCCGTTCAATGAGACTGTAAGAAAAATATTAGAGCAACTTGATAGACATAAGCCCACTCCTGCAGAAAAGGAAGCTGAATTGAAGATGGCCAGTGAATGGAAGAAATATCCCCGCAATGAAATCTCTGATTCCACTCCAAATGGTAAAACGAAATCATCGCATTTAGGAGAATTTGGTATGCGTAGGAACAATGGGCTGGCAGCTGCCCGATCGTCCAAAGATGGAGATATTGGCACAGTCAGTCACGTGGAAATATCTCAGGAGCATGCTAGTGCTAAAGCTTCTAGCATAGCTGGTGTATTTGTTGCGACGACTGGAGTTGATACAGTGCCTTCATTCACTTTTAAGGATGCTGATTCCCAAGTTAAAAATTTCTTTTCTGGTTCTCGCACTGCAAGTTTGGACCAGGTACTTAATTGTTATTGAAAGTTATATTTACAAATGACAGTATTTTGCACCTTCCTGGCAATCTCGAGTTTGTTAAAAAAGATAACCCTTTCTTTACAGAGTTAAAAAAATAAATTTATGTATTTGAAATGGAGGGTGCAAGAGTTAGAAAACATCAGAGGATGTTGATTTTAAGCATTACTAATTATTTTATAGGATCACCACTTTAACATGGTATGTCTATGCTGCAGGACTCTGCAGGCACTGGTGATGGACAGAAAGATAAAGGTACTATGCTGCAGGACTACGTAGGTACTGATGAAGGAAAGAAAGATAAAGGTACTACCCCCCGGTGGCCTTTTCATAATCAAAGTAATGGGCAGAATGCCACAACGTTATCCAACTCCACGGGTTTTGAGCTACCAAGAAATGCTGCTGGACAGGCCTCTGGAACGAAACCTACTTTGCCATCCATTTCTATTAATAAGCCGAATCCTAGAAATGCAACATTCCCTGACAATGGGTTTGGATTCACTTTTCCAGTAGCTGCATCATCTGGTGCACTTTCAGAACCACCAACACCGTCCATCATGCCATCGTCCTCAGCCAGTGTCCTCTCTCAGCCCGCGGATGCATCCACTGTTCCAGCATACAGCTTTGGCACGGGAAAATCAGCTGAACGCCTGGTCTTCTCTTTTCCCTCTACGAGCAATGTGTCTGTCCCTGTGAATGCTTCAGATCTAAAGTATAGCTTTGGAACTGACAGGAGATCAAGACTATCTTTCAGTGCAGTAGGGAAAGCAACATGCTAGGTGAAACTTGGTAATACTTCAGCTGCAGGATCCACCCCATGATGGGAGACTTGTTTCATAATTTTTTTTTTGTATTCTCACCCACATTTAGGATCTTGATACTTGTTTTTTGCCACAGCTTTCATTTTATAGGATGGATGAATACCTGATATTAAAAGTTTCAGTGAACATGTAATTGCAGATTGACTGATTGTGAATTGCAAGCTCTAAGCCCCATTTTAGTAAACAAATAATTGGGGATCGATTTGAATATGGTTGTCTTCTTATACATATGAGGTTATTGCGTTGAGTCCTTTCTGCAATGTTTGCTCAATTGTCAAGCTAGAGTTTAACAATGCTATGAATTATCTAATATAGCAAACACTAGTACTAGAGAAAATATATTAGAAGTAGCGTATTTTGTTTGTCAAATCTTTAATTCAGCACGCGACATTATTCTAGTCACGCAGTCTTACCAGCGCTGGTTATGATTTTATATTTTGTTTCGACTTGTAATTATTTGTTTCTCATTCAAATGACATCTTACAGTGTATTTAGTTTCAAATTAGAATAGGAGAGTGAAAGTAGTCAAGTAGAACGACATAAAACACATGTACTTTCTCTTTTATCCAATGTGCGTGTGGGGGAGTTTAACAAATAGTCATTTTCAGCCCCTATAATGAAAAATAGTGATTTGTCATGGAGTTTAAAATGTTCTGGAGTTTTACTTGTGAAATTTGGAACTCCAGAATAATAACTATTTTTCCGAAGATATACCAAATTTGTCTTTTCTTTCAAGGTCCTAATTTATATGATATTCCCTCCCTTACAATTAGTTTAGCACCACTCATTTAATTTGTATGATTCGATTATTCTTATTATAGGACCACTTGATCTAAAAAAAAGTAGTTGTTTGGTAAAAGAGCGTTCTCAGTATTGTTTGCCCTAAAAAAACAGATAACAATTGAATTTATATGTGGTTTTAAGGATATGTGGATTAATTCAATACAAGTGATTAATGTCGTTAGATTAAACAAATGAAAGATGTAATAAATGGCCAAACCAATGATAAGGATGATTCCGAGCTTGGTTAAAGACTCAATGAGGAACCTGCCTTCGATTCCAAACTTGCGCTTATGAAGAACTTAAGAACAAAAATAAGAACTTTGAACAACAAAGAGAATTGAAATAAATTGCCTTGGTATGCGTGTTATAATGTATCTCATGAATAATAAGCTTCTCCCTTTATATAGAAGAGAGTTTTACCCCAAGTACAATTCTAAGAAAGGTAAAAATCTTTTTCTGCCGATACGGGCCGAGATTCACACCGTGATATCCTGTTGGGCACGGACATCACGACCCTTTGTTAGTCGTGTGCAGCTGTTTGGTAATGCTCCCCGAAGTATTGATCCTCGAACCGACCCGGAGGACATAGTCCTAATACTCCCGAGGAAAGGTGTTTTGCCCGATCCCCGATACGAGGGGCTCCTCGCTCTGACTCCGATTTATTGCGATCACGTTCCTGCTCCGTTTGCCTTACCGAGAAATCGGGGTATTTAGTGGGTTCGGTTTTACCCGTATACAGATAGTCCCATCGTTTCTCAGATAGTAGGCTTGCCGAAACGATGGGAAACGACAGATGACTCCGGTTCCTTCCTTCGTACGTTACGACGAGGGAGCCGAAACGTCCCATCAATCGCGTCGTTATGACTTCGGACACGTGTCTCTCACCGGCAGGTTGCTCCCGAATGCGAAGCGTCAACTGTTTCCCTATAAAAGCTTCCTCCTTTTGTCCTTTTTCTACCTTTCGACTAAATCACTACCTTCGAGCTTTCCAACCATCATCAAACCTTCTTCAAACCTTCATATCTTCATCCTTGTTCTTCAATTTCCGTAGTAATCTCCAGATTTTTGCCTAGCATTTCTTCATACTCTGTTCTTCATCTTCAAAACCCGTTATTCCAAAACTTCGTGTTCTTTCCTCAAGTTTTCAAACACCCCCCAGATGACAATGGCCAAAACATCGAAAACTGTTCCTCAACAAGTTGCCTCTTCATCTTCTCAACCAGCCGCTGGTACTGAAACGGTTACCCCTGAGGTGGTTGCCCTCAAAACGACTTCCCCTATTGTTGCTGCTAACGAACCGGTCGCCGAGCCTCCCTTGTCAACGTTCATTCCCGGGAGCTGCTCAATTGCAGATGACTTTAAAATCGAGAAAACCTCGCGCAAACAGGACCGGGGTGAAGGAGTCTCGAGGTACATATGTTCTGTGATCGAAGATATTCTTCCCATAGTTCGTAAGGATTGCAATTAGGAAGGCAAAAACGTAGTAGTCCCCGGGCCCGAGAATGACGTTATTACCCATGTGGAGGGGTACTTAAGTGTTTACACTTACCTCTTCACACTGGGCCCCATAGACCCGATTGTTCTAGACTTTTGCAAGAGGTAAGAGGTGTGCCTCGGGAAAATCCACCCATCGTTGTGGAGGATCGTGGCCCTCCTCCTCTACTTCGTGAACAAGGCCGAATCAAATTTAAACGTTAAAGTAATTAATGTTATCTCTGTCAAATTTCACAAATATATAAATCTCTTAAATTTGCGTCTAGTGAAAAGTAGATGAAGAAGCATAAATGACTTATAATATTCTTGGTTGATTTCCCTTTCTCTTACTTACCCTCCCTTTAGCCCAACCAAACATAACGAAGTCTAGTTCAATATCCTTCGGTTATAACTAGGGTCTACCGGTCACATAAAAGGAATTTGAACTCTCTAGTCTAAACACAACTAGAGAACATGATGCCTCAATAATCAGGAATTGTACTAAATATTCAAAACTTTTTCCAACTGAAAGGAATTTATCCTTTATTTTTTGGTTTCCCACCCGGTATTTGATATTCGTATTAGGGTTCGATTAAATTCTGATTCATCCAGTAAATCCCATATTGCGGGTAAATCGCTCATTAACAAAGATAACTTCATACTTAAAGTTCAAACTCAAAACTTCTGGTTAAGATAAATGAATACTTACCACTCCACCACAACCTTTATAATAAAGGAATTGATCCTTTTTGTAAGATATATAAATCCTAAGTTGTTGATAATATGGCCCCAAAACATGGCCCCACTCACACATGATCTTGTTCAACCTAGTGTTTTTATCGGCTACAAAGACAGATGCAATATAACTTCAACGGGTTTAATTGAACTCAATATATTTTACACAAAACATAAATATATATAAAAAAATCACTAAAATTTTAATAAATAATAAGGTTTGAACCCGTAATTACGAAAGTGCAACACGCTCACTTGTGAGAATAAGTATTCAAACCAATCAAATTTAAATTCTGAATTGACGTCTGGATTATATTATGTCAAAGATTCACATGATTACCTGAAATATCTTCCTCAAATGGAGGGAAGAGCTTTAGATGATCTCTTATCTCTTCAAGAAAATGGACTAACATACATGTTCACTTTATACTATAATCAAGATATGGAGTGTTGGATTTGATGTGACCTAGTTCCAATGTTTTTGTAGTAACATCTTTAATATCCAAAATCATTGAGAATGGGATCTTTTTCTTTGAGTGATACATTAGCTTCTTGCAAAACTATGATAACAAAAATAAGAAAGGATTAAATCTATTCAAATGCTGTACCGAAAAATATCGTGTTTGATAGACATTTTTTTACAATAATTAGTTTTAAGATCTGAAGTATGTACATACAAATATATCACACCATTTTGAATGTAATACACGTTTTAATATCATACTGACAAGTTAGTTCATAGAATATTGTAGATTTTATAAATGCAACTTTTGGGACAAACTAAAATTACAAGTCAAACAATACCCGGGAAAGAGATAAGAATAAAAGAAAATAACTTTTTAATGTGATTTGAATCGTACATTTAATGTTGCTAGATGAAATTGCAACTATTAATCACACTCTAATTTAATCCCAAATAAATAGAGTATTGATTAGTTGTTCATGGAATCAGGTTAAAAATTTTCCTAAAGCAAAGTAGGATAGTATGCATTTTTGGTCCTAATTTAGGATGAGAGATTAATTTCAAAGTTACTTTTGTTAAAATCGTACCATAAATAAATTAAATAAAAGTGCATGTGTACGTATATGAATTTATTAACTACAAAAAATCAGAATATGTGTCCAAAAGAAGGCTCACTAGTCAGAGAATGGGGTTCTGGGAAAATGGGTGTAAAGTCAGAGATGAAATGACAAGAAATGAAATGAATGCTAAGCAGACATGAATTTGACATTTCAGATTCTATGCTACAGTCCTTTGTATTCATACTTCTCTCTCTCTATCTACTATCTACAATAGTAGTAGTACAGTAGAAATATTTTTCTTTCTCTCTGTCAACAATTTTTTGTTGGTTTTCATTCAGTATTCAATAGTTACTGTGGAATCCAACTAATCTGCGTCTAAAATTTTATTTTGAAGCAAAACACTTTTCACTAAAGGCGGCTTCATTCTCAATATTCAAATTTACAATAACAACAACATACTCGGTTTGATTACACGAGTGAGGTCTTAGGACGGTAAAGTATACACAAACTTTAGCCCTACCTTATATTCTCTCCGTTTATTTTTACTTGTGTACTATTGACTTTGTACACCCCTTAAGAAATAAAAAATTAAATGCATAATTTATCATGATACTCATATTAATTATTGTAATCTTAATGGTTTTGAAAAATGATTTGGAATGAGTAATTAATGCTAAGGAAAAAACAGGAAAAATAAATTATTTTTCTCTTGATATGCGAAAAGTAATAAGTAAAAATAAAAACTTATTTTTAGAATACTTGACAATTAAAAATGAACGGAGGAATATAAGATAGAGAAAATTATTTGCGATAGATCCTCGACCGGAAGGTTTGACCTCTAATTAATTAAGCATAAAGGATACATACCACTTTTGATGGTTTTCTCAATAGTGTGACATTGCTAGCTTGATAAAAAATTTACAACTATTCCTATTTACTAGTATTTGTTAAGTTATTCTACCCAACTTTGCAGATCCCAAGGAGACTTTGTCTCAATCATTCTTTATATTATTTTACTGCATTTCTTGTTACAAATATATTCTTCTCTTTCTCTCATAAATTCCTTCTAACTTTGTGTGTTTTCACATGCATAAATGCAGGGTTTCATCCTTTGGTCAATAAGTCATCAACCAAAGGGTTCAAAGATGCTAATAGCTAAATGGACCTACATGTTTATAATGTTTATAACCACATATATGTACTTCACAAATTCT